ATAGCTGTAAGAATTGCCAGATCTGAACTCCTTCCTAAAAGTGCTGCCGGGTGATTGGCCACAGTCATTTGTGGCATGGGGTCGATTTGCTTCAACCTGCTTAATAAAGCATAGCACACAGAGAGGAACCAAAGTTGGAATTTGAAGCTGGTTGAATGAATGGTAGAAAATGTAGGCATGTATTTTTAGGGGCTGTAAACTGTTGTTCATGGCTTCTTTTGGTACTTCTTTTATCTATATCCTTTCCATGTGTTATACAGGCAGACGTGTGAAAAACTGAAAATATTAGTATGCTATATTGGTACTGCTTGAACTCTGGTAGGTCGAAAGAATAGAAGAAACTAAATTTAAAAATAGTTTCTGCTTTTACAAAGCACTGTATAATTTTTTATCTATTTACTTTTTTAACTTGCACAAAGTTCAGTTTGCATAAACCTTTCATTTGCAAGTATACGAAAGGGACATAGATAATAAAGATAATTTAGAGACTGCTGTCTGTTGGGAAGCATGGGTTTTGTTTGGTTTGTGTTATGTTGGGTTTTTTTTAACTGCTTGTCTTGCTTCCCAAATTCGTAAACAAACATGGCATGTAGATACTGCAAATTATGAAGGTAATTCTCCGAAGAATCTGCTAACCAGGGAGCTATTATATTTTATTGCTGTCTTATATATCCAGCAAGGTTTTTTTAGAATGAAAAGCACTAGGTATCCAGCATGCAGAGCTAACTAACATGGAAACTTCATGGATAGAGATGTAAACTTTGCATCTTCATATTTTTGAGTGAATGCTAAACCCGTGCTGTTAATGCAAAGGTGAAATTAATTCTTCCTGAGTTTCGACATTTGACAGGGGAATAGGGTACATCTGAATAAACAGATATGGTTTTGGTGGTGGGGGGGGCGAATATTACTGGTCACATCCCTTAGGACAAAATACATGCTAAGATATTAATGTATCCACAGTCTTTCCTGCATTTCTAGTCAACATACTTACTGGTCAGTATAGTCTACATACTTACAAGTCAGTATCATGTATCTTTGTTTATGTACAGCATTTGATACTATTTGTACACAGAGGCAGAGGTAATGTTGATTCCAGGGCTCTTGTATGGTTCGTATTCTTTAAATAAGACTCTAAATACATTATCTGGAAAACATGCACTTTTCTTTCACCATGTCACTCTGTTGCACAGTAAAACAAAACTTTTTATTGGTATGAGTTTTACAGGGAGAATAAATTTGTGTATACTTTTCAATCTTCAAAGCTCTTTAAGCATTTCTGCCAGTTTAAAATGTATCTGTTTTGTGTACTAACTAAGTGGTTCTTGACAAACTTAATTCTGTTCTGTGGAAAAGTAGAAGCACTGGTGTTCTATTTCTAAACATGTCATCTGCCCTGTATTTTCCTTTTTTCTCCTAGAAGATATTTAGAGGTCCAAAATCTTTTACCAAAAGAATGTGTTTATTTTTAGATCATTTTCCAAACATACACAGTGCTACAGATCAACTGCTGTTTATTGATTTGTTGTGTCAATAATTCCATTAACTGTGCTTCATATAATTCAGAATATGCACTACTGCACAAACATATGGTGTGGCACCAACAGCAGGGGACAAGGAGGAATGAGCATGAAGAAACTAAAGTTCAGGCAGTGCCTCCCTCCTATGCTATTAAGTTACTTAGTTCCAGCACACGGCGTTGAAGTGTACGTAGTGTTTAAATTGTTCTGACAAATTCTAAGACTTATTTTTTTAAATTTTTAGAGGAGTAAGTTCAGTGAAAACTTAAAGGAAGAAAATGAAATGTAAGTGAAATCCACCATAAGCTGCATTCTGTCAATTATAAGGGATGTTCTTATGATGAGTAAGGTACTTTTTCCAGGTTAAGTAGGAAAGACATACTGGGCTTTCACACATGGTAAACTCCAAGTTTGGGTTGGATCCGTCATTGCTTTTGACAGTTGCTCCTTTCGTATGCTGTCCAAGAGCTGAGCTGCTTTACTGGAGGGTCAGCTCTTCTCTGTTTTCCCTGTATCCTAGGTAAATATGCAGTGCATTCGTGTCCTCTTCTCAAGTTCAATCCTCTGCCTAAGCAGGCACCAAGTCACTGATAAATTGTTACGAAATCTTGACTGCACAGTCATTTATCAGGCTCTTTTCACCAACTGTAAAGTTTATATATCTGATGATCTCTCGCAACTTTCTATTATGTAATTAAGATTTAGATTGCCTGGTAAGCTCTTCCTCTTGATGCCTGACATTGATAATTTATTATTGTTGTTTTGTTATTTTGCTATTATTATTGGTTTTATTTTCAGTCATCAGCAGGACTTCATAAAGTGCATCTGATTGTTGCAATTTATTATACTTTTCAACTAGACCCCAAGTATTGTGACATTGGGAGGTATACTCATTTATCTTAGTTTCTTCATTGAATAGAAATGTTATTTAAAAATATGTCAAAATCAGAAAATAATTTTTTTTCAGTATATAAACTGGAAATACATGTATTATCTCTTGGTATTAAACTTTCAAATAGTCAGGGGAACAGTATGCAATTATACTGGCTTATGGGTTGAATTTGACCATAGAATCATAGAACAGGTTGGGTTGGAAGGGACCTTAAAGCTCATCTAGTTCCAACCCCATGGACACCTCCCACTATATCAGGTTGCTCCAAGCACCATCCAGCCTGGCCTTGAACACTGCCGGGGTGGGGCATCCACCACTTCTTAAGCAACCTGGTCCAGTGTCTCACCATGCTCATAGTTAAGAATTTCATCCTAATACCTGATCTAAATCTCCCCTCTGTCGCTTTAAAGCCATTACCCTTGTCCTATCCATGCGTGCCCTTGTTAAGAAGTCCCTCTCCAGATTTCCTGTAGGCTCTCTTTAGGTACTGGAAGCTGCTCTGAGGTATCAGTATCCCCAGAACCTTCTCCACACTGAAAGAACCCTAGCTCTCTCAGCCTGTCTTCATAGGAGAACTCATGACCCTTTGTTCACCAAACCAGCATCACTGGATTAAATGTAACTGAGCTGTAGTCAAAAACCATGAAATTCTAACAGGAGTCTCACTCAGCCTTGCACCATAAGGCCAATTGTATCTAGCTGGGAGAAAACATTATATGCACGCTTCCTTCTCCCAAAGTGGCAGGGAGAGTTTTTCACGGTTACTTGGTCAGTTTGGTTTCCTTCATATTGTAGGGGAACAGCTGTCTTGGAACTGAATTGCTGTTGCCAGTGCACTTTGTCCTGCCAGAGCTCCTCTGTAGCATCCTTCTCTTGTTAACTGTCCATTCTTAGTGCTTCCCAGATGTGAGCAGAGTGCTCTCTGAGTTATGTGTGCTTGCACGGTGGATGCGATCAGTAAATCAGCACTGCTGTGAAATGCAGACTTAGGGCACAGACACTGAGTGACAAGATTTTCCTTGAACTGTAGGCTGGTCATTTTCTATGTGAGGTGAATAGAGGGGTTGTAATGGGCAATTCTTGTGCTGGGGGCGGGGGCCTTGCCAACCCCAAGAAAGTGGGCAATTTTATTCAAAATGTGGTCTGAGAGAGAAGAGGAAATGCCAAGGGAGAATACTTGTACTTGGAACATTTAGGTTTTCCAGTGACTCACTGTTTCCAATTTGTTTGTATGTACTATTTTTGTAGGCTGCTTGACTATCTTTCATAAGGCTTGGTGTTTCCAACCTCAGTTGTGGACTGCAAGAAAATAGTTGGTGTGTGTTACACAAGTGAAGAATCGAGGCCCTCTACTGTAGGTGGGGGAGGAGGTTACACTCAGCAGGTGCCTTTTCACATGAGGCAGAATGGAGCATGTTCTGTGGATCTGCTGTGTATATCTTGTGGTAGACTCAGTCTATGAACCACTGTTGTTGGAGGGTAAAGGTGAGAAGCCAAGAACTCCTGGAAGGCTAAGTGCATGCTGTAATATAGAAGAGAAAAATAGTTATTCGTGTGTAGTAAGGAAACCAGAAGGGGAAAGTGCTGCTGATCGCCATTGCTGGGCAGCGTCTTTCCTATCCATACGAAACCCTTCAGAATATTGAGCATACTTACCCTTTTATCATCTTTCTTAATGCAAATTCTTGATTATTTTTTCAGTTTTTCTTTTTACCTCCCTTCAAATTTGGCCCTTGACTGCAGACTTCCTCATATTCATTATGAAGGTTTAGCAGGTCTTGAGCTATGCACCTGCAGACTTTTCCACCCCATTCCCAGGGGAAATCAGCTTCACTATTTATTTATTCATTCATTAGGAAAGCATGTAGTGGGAACCTAACCCAAGCATGGTTTACATAAATGATAGTCAGTTTGCTTTGACACGGAGCTTTGACAAGTACAGTCTGGTGCTTGTACATTCCTAGCTACTGAGTTGCTTTCTCTGGATCAGCACTGTTAATTTATGTTCCAGATTTTTACTATATTGGGGGACATTAAAAATAAAATATTAAATGTTATTTCCTCAAAGGATAAGCATTCAGGCAGAAGGCAGTTGGCACTGTTTCAGCATTGGGAATGTGTGGTCATTCACTGATCTCCTACAAATCGCTTTTCTTTTAAGAAGCCATCCTGGGAAGGAGTGAATTCACTAGTAGGCCTATTATAAGAATAACTTCAATCTCGTTGAGCACCTTGTCATGACTTCATCATAGTCTTGTGCAATTGTTTGAGTTCCTGTTACTAGCAATAATAAAAAAATACAGTAGATAGATGTAATTTCGCTGGTCAAATCTATAAAGCTAAATTTGCCATCATTCCACTAATTTTTTCCTGAGCAAATCTTTTTGACAAAATTAAGATCGTATTTTGCTGAAATGCTGCATGTTAATAAAATGTTTGTATGTTTTCCAGTTCTTCTGTAAATGATCTCTGGAGGAAGCTTAGCTAAGCACTATTTCTAAGTTAAATTTCTTTTGTGTTCGTAAAGTCCTATGTAGTAAATAAAACCATTTCAAGTTAAAACTCAAGTGTTTCATATTTTGTTCTAGGTTGTTGGAAGAGGAGCTTTTGGTGTGGTCTGCAAGGCAAAATGGCGAGCTAAAGATGTAGCCATTAAACAAATAGAAAGTGAATCTGAAAGAAAAGCCTTCATTGTAGAGGTACAGTAAGTTTGCTGGAAAATACAAGGTTTGGTATTTTCTTAAATTCATGGGTGCATTCAGTACACCCACCTACAGACATTTATCTTGTCTGTATTACAAGATAAATGCAGCCTGTGGTACCCAGTACAGTCCTGGACCCCTTGTCTTACAGAACAGGACACCTGTCAGAGCACATTGCAGCTCCTTTAGTTTGTTTCCCATAAAAACTGGAAAGCAAGTGGGGAGAGTGGAGGGCACACAGTTGGGGAAACACTAGTTCCTAGATTATGTCCCAGTGTAAAGTCAGGGTGCAGCTGAAATACTCACCAAAATCTCAGAGCTGATTAACACTTCCAGGGGCTACAGCATGGGGTCTTCATACAATCAGGCCCATACTCAAAACTGTTTCTTTGGTTTTTCAGCAGTTCTGATAATTTTGATCTTTTTTCTTACATACAAGTTCATGAATATGTGTAACTCATTTAAAGGCAATCACTCTTTTCATTCAATGTCTACTTCTTCAGAAAAAACTTGAGTAGTTCAGACATACTGATAAACTTCTGAAGATATGCAATGTTTTCTGAAATCAAAAGTTAGACATGTAATTTAAATGAGATATGATATGCTGCTTGGTATTTAGTCAGTGAGAGTCTAGGATATTCAAGATATACCAAATATGTTAAAAATAAATCTCAATTTTGGGACTAAAAATGTAACACACTGAAGGGTTAAAGGAAGCATATTTGTAATAGGCCTTTCTGTGTAAATGTTTATATGTTGTTCATTACCATGTAAAATTTTTAATGTTACTTATCTAAGTCTAATTTAATACTGAGTAGATCTGATCAGTGTCTTACCATTTTTGTGTTAGAAAGAGATCTGAGAAGATAATCCCGGAAATGCTACAGTAATTACTGGCATTCAGGATGCTGTACACAGTGCAAGCATCAGTTGTAATACTCCATTCCATTTTTTAGGATTTATAAAGTAAACAGAAAAAATAGCGTTAGCTCACTAGACAGTGAACAGCATAAGCTGCCTCAGAAGTCTGTGTAAAGGGGAAAAAAATTCATTTAGAATTTTTTCCTGTCTACTACCTACTAGTAAAGAAAAACTCAGTGGAATATAGTCAGATTGTCAATTAGTACATGCAGTAGTAGGTTCTTGGAACTATGTCACATTAATATTAAACTGGCTGGCTTATTTTACAGGGTTTTGGGTTTGGGGGGATGGTTTGGTTTGTGGTTTGGTTTTTTGGGGTTTTTTTTTTGGTTTGGTTTTTTTTTTTTAGAATAGTATTCTATATTGTGAATAAAGCCAGTATGATTCAGATTTTTTATGTAGTCAGACCATCAGGATTCCAAAATTGGAGGCTTCAGGAAGACCACAGAACTCGTAGAGGTCATAGTTGCACAGTGCTTATGACTTGAATGATTCTAGTACACCATGAAAAAAATACTTTCTTTAAATTTAATTTACTCAGAATTTCTTTTCTAATACAGTTCCAGTTAGACACAACCCTAATTACATAAATTAAAATGCAAATAGTAATACCTAAAATCACCATCTAGGGTTATGCAAATGTATAAAACTGTAATTGCTGTTATGATGTTTGAATTACAGATGTCAAAATAAAGCATTAACCTTATTTTTTCCCGTGATTTGAAATAAAGTGTGATTTGTATTGCAGCTTCGACAATTGTCACGAGTAAACCATCCCAATATTGTCAAGTTATATGGAGCCTGTCTAAACCCAGTAAGTTATATCTTTGTCAGTATGGCAAAGGTGACTAGTTTAACATATGCAAGCACCACTGCACCAGATGTGTATTTTATATACAAAAAATGTTTATTTTATATATATATAGTATGTTTTAGCCATAATAAGGAAACATACAGATACGTAGGTTGGTTGATATTTTCAGGGTTTTTTTTTTTTTTTATTTCCCCTGCTATAAGAAGTAAATTCTTTCAAGAAAACCTCAAAGCTATTTTTAAACACCAGTTATACTTCAGTTTGTCAGAATGGCATCTGGTGTATTACATATGTAATGTCATTCATATCTACAGTCCTATTAATTGCAAATCAGCAATAGGAAAATACATTAGCAACACATGATTCATAGCTTGTACATCAGTTCCTATTCTTACATATATAATTTTCAGGATTTGCTTTCTTTCTGCCACAGCTGCAAACAGTCCCACAAATTCTCACAGCAGAAAAGCAAGGACTGTGACAGGCCAGATGTATCCTTAGCTAATTCTGGTATGGGTGATTTAATTGGTTAAAGTAATGCTGCATCCCTTTTTTCTTAGTACTAGTGGAATTCTTTTTACATAGTGTTTAAAATCTGTTGTAAGCCACGAAAGTATAGGCAAATGAAGAAAGTATAGGCAAATGAATTGTCGTTTGAAGACAGCGTTTGCTTTTCAAGCTTGAGGGGAGGGAGGTCATTCTTTCTTAACTTACAGTGGGTACTAAGTATAAAACTGATTTCTGTTTCTTGTATGTAAATATGTACCATTCAAACTGACTCTTTATCTCATAGATAATTTTTCCATTAGCTTAGATATGGAGACTTTGCAGTTCCCCTTAAAGAACTTTTCCTTTCAGTTTAGAAAAGCTGTTTTCTACCCCTACGTTGAAAACATTCCTATTTTTTTTGCCCCCCCCTCCAAGGTGTGTCTTGTTATGGAGTATGCTGAAGGAGGTTCTCTATACAATGGTGAGTATCACTTCAACATAGTGACTCCTGCTAGTGTTAGGGTAAGCATGATCTAAAATATGTGTTGTTTCATACATATGTCTCCATCCTTGGAGATACCCAGATGCCACCGGGACACAGTCCCAGGCAATCAGCTGTAGGTGGCCTGCTTGATCCTGCTCGTTGGACCTCCAGAGGTCCCTTCCAACCCCAGCCATTCTGTGGTTCTTTGAAATTCTTAAAATAATTTTAAGGAGAATGAACTCCACTGATTTGTTGCTTGATACCAGTTTGTTACATTTTATGCAAGTAATTTAAGGTTTTCTGGTGGAACATCTTTAAAGATTCCTCCTTAACTTGTAAATGCCCTGAGCATTTGCTTAATATTGACTTTACCAGGGATAGCTGAGAACAAGCAACTCCTTTCATACTTAATTTTAACATAAATGGATATGAATAACATACTAAAAAATGGAAAATATTTTGACATTTCTATTATTTTAACAGTCTGCAGAAGGATATTTTCAGCTTCAGGATTGAGGCATTGATAATTACTTAGATTCCGTAGAGCTTTATGACTGGTATGTTGTTAACTCCATTGTATCTGTTGTAATATACAATAAAGTTCTTTTTAGTTTGTGCCTTTGTTTTGCAGTGCTGCATGGTGCTGAACCTCTGCCTCATTATACTGCTGCACATGCCATGAGTTGGTGTTTACAGTGTTCCCAAGGAGTGGCATATCTCCACAGTATGAAACCAAAGGCTCTAATTCACAGAGACCTGAAACCACCAAAGTAGGTTTATGTCTTATATTTCATATTTTCTTACAATTGGAATTTAAGATCATTTATAATAATTTCATTGCATTTGAAAGAAATACCTTTAATTTACACTAACTTTTTTGGATGTACTATATGTATGTGGGAGTGGTGAGGCACTGGAACAGGTTGCTCGGAGCAGTGATGGATGTCCCATCCCTGGCAGTGTTCAGGACCAGGCTGGATGGGACCTTGACCAACCTGGGCTAGTGGGAGGTGTCCCTGCCCATGGCAGAGGGGTTGGAACTAGATAATCTTAAGGCCCTTTCGAACCCAAACCATTCTATGATTTTATATTCTAAATGAAAGCTGTGCGTTTGAATCTTCAGTTACAGAATGATGGTGCACACTACAGGAAATGAACTGTACTGTTACTTTCTGTTGAACAGGAAAAACATCCTGCTTCTGCCCTGCATCATGGAAGAACATTTTGATAGGGGTAGGGCTTCTAATCAGAGGCATTTAAAATGCCCCAAATTTACAGTGGGCTGTGGTGTTCAACGTTAGGTGGGGGCAGTTTTTTGGTTGCTTTGTTTTGACATTATATTTAATCTGACATATTAGAGCTCTTTCCCCACATGACATCCTCTTCAATCCTCTCTGTCAGCCTGTTCCACTACCCCTGCCAGAATCTCCCATCATTTTCCACCAAAACACAAAAATAAGTAGCTTTGTGCCCAGGCAGTTTGTTGATGTGATTCATTTTACAGCTTCAGATCTGGCTCCACAGACTAGGTGGGAACAGATTTGGGGATCAGCAGGGTCATTCCCATTTGGTGGTAGCCTGCAGATATTACCAGATAAAATTACGATGTGAAACTACACTTCAATTCTTTCTTGCATTCCCAGTTTTGATTTAGAGAGCTGTTAACATGTAACTTCAAGTGTTTTCATTTAAATAAATAGCTACGTTGACTGACATTGATGGGAGTCTTGATTGCACTTCTTTTGATAAAATTGTTACAGCACTTGTTTTTCAACCTCTGGCATCAGAAAGACTAATTTTGTCAATTTATGCTTAGTGGCTTACTGTGTCTAAAGAATCTTATTTAAAATCTAGCATGTAGAAATATTAATGTATTACAACATATTTGATTATTTTAAAATGTCATCTGTTCATATTAGGCACAAGTGACCTTACTTATTTCTCAAGTTGTAAAGCTAAGCATTGAGAAGCAAAGCCATAGATATTCAACTGTATTAGAATGATAATTGTTGGGATAAAGAAAATTGGTTTATTACCAGATTATTTAATCGTATGATTAAAAATTTTTATTTTTTATTTTTCTTTGACAGTTTGCTCTTGGTAGCTGGGGGGACAGTTCTAAAAATCTGTGATTTTGGTACAGCCTGTGATATTCAAACACACATGACCAACAATAAGGGAAGTGCTGCTTGGATGGCACCTGAAGTTTTTGAAGGTAATAATAATTTACAGTGTCGATATTATGTGTTCTTTCTTGGGATGCAACTGTAAATTAATTGGGTGCAGGAAATAAGTTCATTGTGTAATCTTCCTTTCTTTCAATCAGTGTATTAAAGTTTGAGGTAAAAGTTGGAAGAGCCTTGACAGAATTCATTTACAAATCTGTGTGATTGTGTATTGCCAAATCATTATGCAGAGTTTCAAAGAGCAGCACTGAATTGACTCTGTTGTGTTAGTATTAGACAGTTAATTACATGAACATGTGGAACTTTCATTTGTGTTATTGCTGAGATTTACATGAGGAGTACCTTTAGACAGCTGCTCTTATTTTATAAGTAGTAAAACATAGCCAGAGGGCTATTTCCCCATGATTGTGCTGTTTCCAAGATTCTTAAGTAATTTCAAAGTCTTCTGACCTTTAAATATACTGTCATTACTTTAACTCCATGTTCTGATCAGCTTTTTTTATCTTTAGAATTTTCCTGTTAGTGTCTCTAAATTGAACATAATTGACTTCATTTTCAATCCTCTGCTTTCTTGTAACTCCGTCTGCTTTTTGTGTAATCTAGAGATTTGATGTGCTTCCTCTTTCCTACATACTGAGGAACTTGATATTAACAGTTAATTTAGTTAAGTAGGAAAACAAGCTATTTCTTGGAGTGTAGGTGGGGAAGACTGATGACACTTGGTAATTAGATAGGTGTAATTGCTGCATGATTATAAGAGAAATAATTTAGTCAATATTAGATTGCAAATTAAACACCTTTTAGCCAGTCAGTACCTTAAATTAGCACTGCAATTAGCAGAGTGGCCTGGAGAGGCCATCTTCCTGCTTTAGGAAGCAGGTGTCCTGGCTTTGATATAATATTTGGGAAGTGCCTCTGTGCAGCAGTGGTTTCCCAGATTCTGGATCTAAGTGGCCTCTTTTACTGTCCTTATTCTGGAGAGGAGCAGCAAGTTATGTATGTTTGAATTCAGCAAGCCAGAACAAAGAATTCTTTTATTGCAAATTTATTGTGGGACAGAGCAAAAACCTTCAGTTTACAGTTGGTTTTATGTACTTTTATATGAAAGCTTTTACAGAAAATGATACAAATCTTTACACAAGAACAAATACCAAGGAAATAATGGAATCTAGTAGCTTCTGTGATGTAGTGTATCAAATTACTCTTGAAACAGTCATGAAACTACTACAATAATCATATCAAATATCAAAATTGTTAAAATTTGTTTGCTTGTGCTACTGCATCAGAATTCAACAATGGAAACAAGGATAATATTATTTTAGTACTGTTCTAGTACTAACATTTTTAGATGAGAACAATAAAGGCACAAGAAGTATTGTTTGTAGATGGCAAAGGGTTCATTGAAGTAGTTGCCCTAATATTAAGATCTGTTCCCCTCCACGCACCCCACCCATATTAAATATTAGGGCACCTAAAGCCTTGTGCAGATCAAACAACCTAAATTAAAATAATATTTCGATCAGGATAAAGTGGAAGAGAGCCAAGTGTCCAATCTGGGAACTCCATTTAGAAGAAACTATTTAAAAATGGCTTTTGGATAATAGGATAAATCGAGGAATGACTGTGTCAATGTGTCTATCCTATCGTGGTCTGTTACGTAATGAAACAATACAGAATACTCTTTCACTTCTTTTGGACTCAGTTTTCAGAATTAATTCAAGGCTTCTCATCAGCAAAATAAATTTCATTAAATAGGAGAATAACACTTCACACATTCCTCTAGTTTGATAAAGGTGTAAGGAGTTTTGGAGATGCCAAGTTCTTAAATAATTTTGTAAATACAGTAGCTGGGAGAAGTCCAAATTAGTGCCTTAGGATCTGATATTTGTGCTGCAGCCCATCTCTCCTATCTGCCTTGCAAACTGGCTTGTGTGGAAGAACTGGCCTGAGAACGTGCTGCTTTCCTTGCACAGTTTGTCAGAGTTATGGGGCAGAGGAAGATGGCTCATAGGTAGAGTGCAGGCTGTTGCAACTGGATGCTGTATGGTGCATATCCACATGAAATTAGGCTTCTTTAATCCTGCTGTTTATGAAGTTGTCTCGATGATTTCTGATTACATATTAACAAAAAAATCTCCTGGCCACTTGATGCCAATTTGATCCTTGTTTGAAGACAGAAGAGCAAATCTCTGTCATATTCACACATTTATTATCATGTCATTAGCCATTCACATTTATTTTTAGTATGTGCATAAGTTATGGTTACACAGCATACATTCTTTCTTCACAGTGTCTGAACATTTTTATTCATTATTGCATATACCTACGTGTTTTCCGCATCTTCAGTGGGAGTCTTGGAAATACTGAACTTTTTGCTGAAGAACTTTTAGTAATGATGTGACAGGGAGGAAATAAGATGGTGAGGAGTTGAGGAATCTGCCAGTTTGTACATATGGTAATTTACTAGTACTGCTAAAGACATATAATAAAGAGCAGTGGATACAACAGAGATGTTGTTGGCTGGCATATTGTGACTAACATGGAAGAAGTGAATTGAAAAATATTTAGAGGAAGCAAGCATAGTCAGTTAAATCCTAAATGCAAGAGATCTTTGAAACTTAATAAATATTATAAATATGATATGAGAAAACTGACACATTTTATCATTTCAGGATAACTCCAAGTGAAAAGGATTGATTTCCAGAGAGAGGCATTCTGAATGATCCTATGGTTAAATGATTTCAGATTTAAGTTAGGGTGAATCAGCCATCTTTAAAAAACTATTTTTTCTCAGCAAAACAAATGTGAAGTGAAAGGAAGCATACGTAGAGCTATTTATCAGCTCAAACTGTTCTTCTATTTAATGCATTATATAGAAAAAAGACAAATTATATTAATGGCTTTCTTCCAGGTAGCAATTACAGTGAAAAATGTGACGTTTTCAGTTGGGGTATTATTCTCTGGGAGGTAATAACCCGTAGGAAACCTTTTGATGAGATTGGTGGTCCAGCTTTCCGCATAATGTGGGCAGTTCACAATGGTGAGTTGAAAATACTTTATTGCATTCGTAGTTGTGAATTTGACCTATGCATTTGCTAAACACTCTTAAATGTGTAGCTTTAAATTACTAGGTATTCTATTTTATACTTAAAACATGCATTTTTGTCATGAAGACTTAATGGTTAGACATTGCCACTTTTGTGTCAGTATGTGTTTTATGTTATTTGGCAGCTATAGTGCTTGCATTTCTTGCCCATGTAACAAGCGTATGAACAAACAAGCGAAACAAGTCATGTTCTTTTTGTTATGACACTACATTTTAAAGGTGATCTGAATCATGTGCTACAAAAAAAATCCACAACCCCTCTGTCTGGATGAAGATTTTATTTGCCAAGTTGTCTTCCCCCCCCAGAATAATAGACCGTAGTTATCTTCATGCTAATAATAGACCGTAGTTATCTTCATGCTAGTGGTGTAACTTTCTTAATAGTCTGGGTTTAGGTACCATGGCAAAGCAGTTTTCAGAAAAGTAATGGTAATGAAGTAGTTCAGTGAATGTCTGCAAAGAGTTTCTGCCATTTGTGAAATCAGCATCAAAGCAAGCACAGACTTGTTTGGAAGATGTAATTAACAAACAAGTAGTGAAGGTCTATACTCTGCCTAAGTGTCATTGCTTCAGTTCTAAGCGATAAAAGCATAAGGTGAGCACAGGCATCCTGTTTGATGAAGAAGAGAAAGGAGCAGTGTTGCAGATGGAATGATGCACTTCACTCGTAAGAGAGAAATAGCAGTATGTTTATTGATATAACCAGTTTATTTCTTTAACAAAGTTTGACAGTAAATGCAACAGTGGTTTAACAAGATTCACTTACAAAGTACGCTTGATTACATACTGCATAGAGGAACAGGGTCAGACAAAATTGTCAGGGAGACGTTCCATTGAGTCACGAGGTTCAGAAAGGACCTCTTTGTATTCTGAACTACTTCTCAGAGGGTAGTTTAGGTGCAGCTGAATCCAGACTTGGTCTATGGTTTATGTCTAAAAGATTGTATGTGCATAATGAATTGTTTTTATCACTTAGCTAAGATTTCAAAAGTTTCAGCGCACTTATTCCCAATTAATTTGTCAAGTAACTGATACAAGGATTCTCTCAACCTCGAGGAGTAACCTTGAGAGGCATCCCTACTCAAGGGGAGATCCTGGCTCGCAGCCCTCTGCCGTGCAAGAGAGCTTATGAGCCCTGGACTGTCCACTTCTTACGGAGTAAGAACTCCATATGAGTATGACTCACAGTGATATTTGCGTAGTGACTGCAGATATTGGTTTCTTCCAAACTTGGAACTTAAGTTGCACCTTGACCAACACTGTGGTTAGGTGGGTGCATTGCTTAAATTAGCCCTTGGCTATTGTGGTGTTACCAGTCTCCCCTTGAATCCCCATTGAGTCAGCTACAGCCATCATGACCAGATGCATCCAATATGACCGCCACTGGTGGTTATCACTTTAGTGGTGTTACAGGAAATAAAGGTCAGGTTGGTGAGGTATCACAGCATCAAAGGGAGGCAATGATATGTTGGATCAGCATTACAGTCATAATAATAAACAAAGATAGATGTTTGCGAATGGCATTTTTGAATGAAAGAACACATTCTCAATTTCATTTTTGCAAGGGTACGAGTCACTGTGGTTAAGAGTGATGAGTGCCTTGCATCAAAGCATTACCTGTGCAAGGAAGCATAAATGTAGTGGTCATAAATCGGAAAGCTTTGGTAAGGTGTGGGAGTATCCTTTAGGGGAAGACAAATTACCTATCTGTCCCTATTTTTGCTTCAAAAATGTCTCTGTCTTTTTTACACACACACCCCCCCCTTTTTTTTGTCTTTCTGTATTACTTGTTATGGTTAATATATTTTTAAATGCTTGCTGCTTTTTATGCAAAATGTCACTGCATCTCATGTATTGAGCACAACTAGATGTCTACTAATTGTAATTGTACTCATTGTTGAAATACTAAAAGGAGTAGAAACTTGAACCAAAAGACAGCTGAATAGTATTTTACTTTAAGCATTGTGTAACAAAACTAGAAATGTGTATAGGTCAGTGCTTAATAATTTTTCAGGAAATTCTTAAGAACAAAATGAGCCCTTAAAAACACACACTCCCCCCTTCTTTTTTTTTCTCCCCCCCCCCTCCCCCCCCCTTTCCTGTGAGTATGGCATTAGGAACCAAGTTACTACTTGATTCCTTTGATTCCTAGTTTGGTCTAAATCCTTATTCTTTAGAAAGTGATAACTTATTCATTAGCCATGGTGATGCGTTGTATTTGGTCAGTCCATGAATTTATTCAAAACATTACTGAAGGAAAACTTATTTTTCTTTCTATTTGTTTGTAGTAATTGTAACTTGTTTGAAATACAAAGGAACTTTTTCCAGTTTTTTATTTGTAAGAGAGAAAATCAAGTACAGGCCAATTCTTTCAGACTACAACTAACTGTTTGTTTTCCTTTGTTTATTTAGCAAAATACCAGAGAGAGATCAGTCTCTGACTGTCAGTCATCTTATAGTCTGTTTAACAAATCAAGTGTTTTTTCTAATTTGAATTACAGGTACTCGGCCACCACTGATCAAAAACTTACCTAAACCAATTGAGAGTCTAATGACCCGTTGCTGGTCCAAGGATCCCTCACAACGACCATCCATGGAGGAAATTGTTAAAATAATGACACACTTGATGCGGGTATAAAAATTTATTTTAGTATCTTAATAGTTTCTTAACCTATGAAGTTTGGAAGTGAATTATAAAGGGCATGCCTTTTATCGCACTCCAAAGGTGGGCTTGCATATTTTCTCTCTCCTTTTTGATAAAGATTATCAAGTTATTACAATAGAAAAGGGAAATCATTCCTCTCTTTATGGGAGAAGTATACTAAATCATAACAGATTTTTGGAAATTAATAAGAAGAGTCATAGATGTATTTAAATGCATTACTAAAAATGATTAAATTTATTTCTCTTCTAAATAAGTTATGCTGTAATTTATATTTACAAATTATTTTAAGAGTTACTATTTAAATAATTTTAAAACAATTGTTAATTACTTTTTTTATCAAATCATTGCTGTTTTTTCACAGTACTTTCCAGGAGCGGATGAACCTTTGCAGTATCCTTGCCAGTATTCAGATGAAGGCCAAAGCAACTCTGCCACTAGTACAGGTACATTTGTATAAATAGAAGAACAGCAACATGAAATAATGCAGATGGATTATAAAGCACATTCTCATACTGATTTTGAACTCAAATTGGGAAAGCCAACCTTTCCAAAAGCTTAAGCATTGGCAGGAATCTTTCTTTTCAAGACCACATGCAACATCATATTTAGTGTTCTCAGCCAAATGGTTTGCTGGAGAATACGCGTATAATACAAGCTGTCTCTGAATGTCCAGGTCCTCCTTTTCCCCCCCACCATGAAGGTTGCTAGCAGTTGACGCTATTTCATTCACATGTAATGTTTAGGAGTTGGCATTTTTAAATTTTTTGCCGTTCTTGAAAACTGCACCTGCTTTCAGTTATGTTCTCCACAATTGAAACTTACAGTCATTTTATGTTCAGATACAGGAAATGCAGTAATTTAAATTTAAGTGCAAGGAAATCACTAGAAAGGAGAAGGGAACAAACTGTGCAATAGATTTTCAGGTAGTCTTGCCTTCAGAGGAATCCTTTTAAGAATAGAAAATAAAAATTGTTTTCTCACTTTTTAGAATAGAGTTTTCCTACTTCAGTTGTTTTTAATTTTAGGTGTCTTTACCTTCCACTGCTTGGTTGTGTTGGTTTTTTTTGTTTGTGTTTTGTTGGGTTTTTTTTCCCAATCTCCAAACAAATTGCTGTTATTTTGCTTAAAGTTTCCTTGGCTATTTTGCAGCTTAGTGACCTATATATTTCAAAATCTTTTCACCTGTGACATTGTACTGACTCTGCTAGCTGTTCTCCACCTCTCAGCACATGACTTCAAGATAAAATTTACCACTTGAAACTTTGAATATATATTGCCTGGTATTTTTCAGGTATTTGTGCTCCTTTATGGTTAATGATGGACTTTGTGAATTAGATTGCTGGTCGTGTTGTTACTGTAACATCTACAGAAACAATCTGAGAGCAAGATAAAGATTGACTTTGGAATGTCATCATAATACTTACTCATGCATTCTTTTTTACTCTTTTTACTTCTTACATTAATGGATCTGTTGCAGTCTTGCAGCTTGCCTTTCATTAAAAGTTCTCAAAAGTCATGCTTTAAAGCAGAGTTAGGATTCTGAGAATGCTCAAGTGAAGAGATGCATTTTAGTATTTTTAATGGAAATTCTCAAATGTTTTTCTTTGTTACTGCATTCTAGGTTCATTTATGGACATCACTTCTACAAACACAAGTAACAAGAGTGATGCTAACATGGAACCAAGTGACTTCCAAGGGGCTTCTACAAATGACACTATTAAACGTTTAGAGTCAAAATTGGCACAACAAATGAAAAATACTGCCAAGCAGCCGGTAAGCCAACACATGCATTTTGAACCATAATAATGAAATGGACAAAGATTGTCAAAAGTGTTGTAACATCTTTCAAAAATACTACAAAATTGGAGCCAGTTAGTTATAAGAAAAGAACGTGAAAGTGATGAAGAATAGTATATGAATTCAAAAAGGAAAATTGGAAGTCTCTAACATCATCTCAAATGAAATAAAAAAAAACCCAGTTAATTTTAGAGGGATTCCTTAGGTTAAAAATATACGTATATATGTTTGAAAATCACTGCATTAATTTAGAATTAAAGTATTAGTATAATATGAAAGGATTAAACAGTTATGTGAGTTTTGAAAATGCTATGGCTTATTTCAAGTAGGATGAAAAAATACAAAGATTCTCCTGTGACAATATCAGCCTAATTCTACTGTGTTTTTATGTGCATGAAGTTATATTTTTCTGAAAGTTGCAGATACTTGGTTCCTGTGTGCCACTAATAGCTATATTATTACCATTATTGAATTATAAATGTTAAATCTTGTCACTTTTAAGCAGCACATTATAGAAATAGATTTTAACTTACATACTGTGCATGTTATGGAGGGGCTTCTGCAGGTTTTGGGGTTTTTTTTTTTTTTTTAAAAATACAACTTTTGAAACAGGGTGATCCTGGCCGCTTGAGTTTACCCCCATCTCGTGGGAGCAGTGTGGAGAGCTTGTCGGATGTTCGTGCGCGACCACAGTCAGCCCTTGTTTCAGGAGAAGCCAAAAGGATGAGTGCTGACATGTCTGAAATAGAAGCAAGAATAGCTTCCATCACAGGTAAAATTAAAGGATGTTTGGGGGATAGACGAAGGAATTGGAAGGAGGGAAAAGAGAAAGGAAGATGTAAAACATGCATAGTCATGCAGAATGTTAATACCATTCACTTTTCATGTTGTCTTTATAGTCCTTTATTAATTGTGGGGAAGAATGGCTTCATTCATGGCTGTATACTTGACAAGGCTGAGTATTTTAATTGGATACTTCTAAGGTTGTGGAAGAGATTACTTTTGCTGAATTATGCTTTCATCTTTAAAAAAAAAATCATGAGACTTCTAAATATCAGTTCTATTCCAAATGCACAATTTTCTCCTTTGCATCTGAAATCAAGTTATTCCATATCTGCTAGGGTAATTATTTCTAAAATAACATTTCCTTCAAGGTTATTCCTATAATATTTTGAAATTGAGATGGGTTTAAAGTTCACATGTTCCCAGGAAAGTTTTAAAATTCACTTTTGACAGATTTCAGAAAGAGAAACATAATTAAATTTTTTAGTGGTCAGATTAACAAAGCATTGATATCTTTTGTTTAAAAACAAAACAAAAGCTACAGGTGTTTTGCCATGCTTGCTTCCAATATTTATAAACTGTTGTGTCTAAACATTGACTCCTTGACTGAATTGGAATTGATGTGTAAGTATAAATACATGCTTTTATGGTGAAAACAATCTTTATTCTTCCCAGAAGAGCGAATTAATAAAAATGTGTATACTTGGCAAACACTTTCTTGTCTCTTTTCTTCATCAAATACATTGTTTGTTAATCTATGCGAACTCCAGGTGATAAGTTTCTTTTATGAAACTTTTTTGTTATGGTATATAACCACAGATTTAAATAAGCAAACTAAACTTCTTTGGTTAGTCCAGGGTTATTTAGCTGTTCTAGTATTTTCATACTGATCTGAAAATTAGGGTAATCAAGGAGCAGTAATAAGGAAATTACATCATATTCTGGCTTTCTTGTGCACCACAACTATTTTATTTTTGTCCTTCATTGTATTATGATTACTCCAGAATCTTGTTTTACTAAATACTGAAGTTACTCATTAAATAATATTTATCTTGCTCTAAACACTTTTTATTTTATGTTCTTATTTAAAAGCCTTATTTCAAGATTTGTCTTTTGTATTGTCAGTCTTTGACTGGATGATTGTGTAGTACATCTCACCACGAATATCTCTGTAGGTTTCCTAACACAGAAGGCAGCTGTGTACTTACCTGATAATAACAACATGCTGGTTTTATTTTAAAATGTCAGGACTCACTTTGGTCACTGACACTCTAAAGTCAATGTAAGTTTTTTACCTTAGTGGAGATAACCTGGCCCTCCTTTGTGTGAGTTTTTAATTTTCCTGGTTTGTCTTCCTTAAGTGCATTGTCCTGAATAGAAATTATTATTTCAGAATATGCTAAGGTTTGTTTATTTATTTTTAATTACTGTAGTTTCTTGAAACAAAACTATATACTGAACACACTAGATTGAGGTTTTGTTTGGGTTTGGGGTTTTTTTTTTGTTTCATTTTTTGGGGTTTGGTTTTTTTTTTTTGTTTTTTGTGGGGTTTTTTTGTTGTTGTTGTTCTGGTTTTTGTTGGGGTTTGGGGTGTTTTTTTAAGAAATCACTCCAGGCCTTAGTGGACTACTGGAAATGAGGTCAAACCATCTGACTGTAACTTTTTGAAAAAGAGCTGAAACAGCACTCTTGGTTTTGCTTTATTGGGGTTTTTTTTAATTCTTGTTAACTGTGTGACAGAAATAATATGCTGTGAACCTGAAAAAAAAATTGTGGGGCTGGGAGAGTCCTAGGCTGTTGTTAAGAGTAAATCAGGCCAAGAATTATTTAATCTTCTTGTTCCATCTATTGCTAAATATCAAAGTAAATCACATAATGCATATCACCATTACTTACTAAGTTTGAGATGGATACACTGCAACGTTCTAACTTTGGGAGATGTATTCAGACTTTTCCCTAAATGGGAACTACTTATCTTAAACTATACAAGTAGTAAAATAAATATAACGAATGTATTATTAGATATAATTACAGAGGATATGATGTTTCTTGAACATCGAGCAAAAGTCTTCACTAATAGGTCAAAAGAATGAAAGGCAGGAACTATTGTCAAATGTAGTTAGAGTAAGCATTTTTGCAGAGACAGATGAGACTTCCTTTAAGATGAGGTAATTTAAAGAAACAGAAGTACCCAACTATTAATATTGTTTATAAAATAGTTTGTACCCAACACTAAAGAGAAAACGTTACATAAATTCAGGCAATCAAGAATTTATTCTGAATATGCAAGTGATCTGAAATAATTTAATTTGTTCTCTGTTTGGATAATTACATTTGGTTTTCCCTTCCTTGTTGCCATGCTGCTTTCTGTGTTTGACTTTTGTGTTGCTAACTATAACTAATTACACAGTGTTGTAATGATGGCTAGTTCTGCATTTTTTGCTTTTTAACAGTTGCTTTACTACATGTAAGCATGAGTGGAAGGCAATGCAGTTTATTCTGCATGACATTTTTGCATGAATTATAGTTTAACCAAGTTTATGAAAAATGCAATATTAGGAATTTAATAATTTTGCTATTGCTATTTTAGTGTTTTGCATGTGTATTGTATATGTGTATTTTTTCAGCCTATTCCAAACCTAAACGAGGCCATCGTAAAACTGCTTCATTTGGCAACATTCTGGATGTCCCTGAGATCATCATACCAGGTATCGCAGACCAGGTGAACGGGTCAGTTGGTTAAGATGCAGGAATAATGATCAGACTGCTAAAATACTTCTTGCTCCAGTTGCTCTAGGACAGAACTAGGAATTATCCCAGTAATTTTTTTCAATAATGTCTCTATGGAGAGGAGCATGATACATCAGTATAAACCTACTATTATCAATAAAGGATTCAGTCTTCTAGTTCAACTTCACTTTTATTGATAAATGATTTTTCCTTTCTCATCTTGGTGTTCAGAGGCATCTTACAGAGTAAAACTATATATGCAGTCTTTTATTACGATACCAAAGTTGGTGAAAATGGGCATAGTAAGTTGAAAGTTGCTGCTCTGGGTAATTATCTCGCCCTGATCTTTGTTGTGTTTAAGCACCCGTTTTTAATCAAATACTAACAGAACAAAAACTGTAGATACCTTACATGTAGAACTTCAAATTCACATTGGACTTGTGATTAAATAAATTAACACTTAATCCATGTAATTCTTATATTTGACTACGGTTTTCCAGAGCTAAAATGTGTCTGCATGAGGTATTTCTGTTGTGTTTAAGTTAATGCAAACTAAAATTATTAGGAGAGGCTTCTGTCAGGAAGAAAATCAGTATAATGAGGCACCGTAACTGATAATTTTGGTTGGGGCATTAATGAATAATTCTCATATATCCCAAGTCTATATTTAGTTAGTAACATATCGTTTTCCTTTCCCATTCCTCCTTTCTTCTTTGTTTTTGTTTTTTTTTTGGGGGGGTGTTTTTTTTTTTCTTGCAAGTTTTTTTGTTTGTGGGGTTTTTTTCCGATTAAAGTGGATTTATTTCTTTCATTTCATATTCCTCAAAGCCTAAAAATAAGTATAATCAGTCCCAAACTGGTATACCATTAGCAGTATGCAGGTTGCTTCAAAATTATTTGTCAGAGGCAGGAGATGCAAGTAATACTATCTACCGCTAGTCTAGAGAGACATTAAAAACTGTAGACACCCTATTCTAAATTTGTGTAATCTGAGGAAGTTTCCTTCTAAATCTTGACATTCTTTGGTATTTTGAGGTAGAATGCAAAAGATAATTTTTTTTACAAAAGTTTAGTTTGTGAAATAATTTTATTTTATAAGTAACTTTATTGAAGTTTACATATAAAGACACTGAATGTAAAAAAAAAAAAAAAAAAAAAAAAACCAAAAAAAAACCCCAAATAGATTCCAAAGAACAATAGCACTACCCATGAAAAGAAAACTTACTTGGCATTAAGGCTAACAAATCAGTTAGAAAGTTTACTAGTGTACTAGTATACCATGTAGCTTTCCACTAATTTTCAAACAGTCCTGGCCTGTCATGACCGAGACACTACTGGCACTACAGAAAAAATAATAAAAATGTAAGTTGTCTGCAGATAAGTGTGGGCTGTATATTAGAAATTTTCTGGTTGTCAGAACAGCTTTTCCATAAGAATCCCAAGGCCAGAAAAAGGGATTAATCGTTATGTGGCAGGGATGTGATCATCAGCCCAGTAGATTATATTTTTCTGTATTCTTAATGGAGTTATTCAGAAGTACATTGCTCAGTTACTCTTTTAGAGACAGTATAGCGTTGCCTATTTCTCACCTCTCCTTTCCTTACTCTCAGCACAAAGCTTTCAGCCTTGGCCTTTTTAACATGCTTTTCCCCTTTTAGTTATACTTCCAAGACCCCCAGAGGGGCACCTCCATCTCAATCGCGCCCCATTTTGTTCCTTAGCACTTCTGCCACATACCCAGCTCCCCCGATCTTCCCTGGGTATGTCCATTCGTGAAGTAAGCAGCTTATCTTCATCCTTGGAGCAGCACAAGTGCCGACCTAATCTCTGCTGCTGCCTGAAGTTCTGCTGAGCACATGGTAAAGCAGCTGCTTCCCAGAGAGGGGAGGCACCACACAGGCATGTTACCATGAGTCAGCTGCTTTGGGGCAGGGCTATTTAAGAAGTATGAATACTACATCTGCTATCATTGGGGGTTTTCGTAATGTGTTGCCTCAGCTGCTTTTCATCCATGAACTGATAGGCTACCAAGGTCATAAAATGCAAATTTTGATCAGTTGAAGGCAAAATGTTGGCAAACTGGATTTTTTTTTTAATATCTATTTGATCATCTTTCTGTTCACCCGTATTTAAAACTGTTTAGAACTTCCATTCATTTAAGATGCTATTTTGTGTTACTAGCTTACAAAACTTAGAAACTGAAAAAGCGATCAACTAATTCTGTTTTGGTGTAACAAATTGGCAAATGAGTTTTTAGTGGTGGTATTCTGCAACCAGATAGCAAAGTGAAGTATCATCTTTTGTTTGGTTTATTTTCAGTTTATAGTATATATAATATATAGTATGAATAATAAGCACCAACATTTTTACATATATTTATGAAAAATAAAAATATAGTAAGTACAGAAGGCTTAAGTAGGTATGTGTTTAAAGAAACAAAAAAATCTAAGTATAATTCGTAATATGATCAAGTAAAATAAGAACACCTTTTCGATACAAACCAATGAAGCAGCATCTTGCAAATACACCTTCAAGTACAGCCTTTTCTTCACTGGCAACATTAGTCATCTCATGCGAATGGCATGCATTTGCCTTTGTAATTTTGTCATCTGAAACTGTGCTACAGCGTTAAAATTTTTATAGCATTGACACTGCATAAAATTCTCACAATAGACACATTTTGTTCAGTGTCTTTAGATAGTGGATAGGAATCATAGATACTTTAGGTCTGTAATTTTTCTGTCTACTTTTAAAATCAGTATAAGCCAGAAATCCCACCTTTGTCTCCCCAGATCACTTCGTTCTTCTGGAATTCAGACCCATGTTCTAACTTTAAAATGTCTTCTGGCACTGTTGTATTCCCTGATCATCCTGCACTGTGAGAGAAGTTTGGGTCTTGTAGGTGCGTAAGGAAGAGAGAGTACTGTGCACAAATGGGAAAGTGTAAAAGGAGAAGCAAATAACTGCTAAAGGGCAGGGAGAAGAGTTCTTGGCTGGTCTGAATATTTGGCAGAGGGAGTGATCAGAAGCCTTAAGAAGTCATAGAATTTGTTTTTTCTGGAGTACATAGGGCAAGACAAGGTAGAAGTTTCCTGTTTCTTTTGAATTTCATTTTTGAAAATAAACAAGTATGTGAAATGTGTTTGGTTTTGGGTTTGTTTTTTTTTTCCCGAGGCCAGGAAGTGTGTTTATCATGTTTGATTATCATTTTTTTAAATCATAAACTCCTGTAAACTGCTGAAATCCTGACACAGCGCATCAAGCTACCATATAATAAATAACTTCTGTGCATTTACCAAATCTCTTAGTTTCTATAATGAGAAAAAAAATGGCTTTAAGTGGACATAGAGGTAAAAACAAAATCAAAACTGTGAAAGGAGAGCACAGATAAATAGTAGTCATCATTTCTAGGATTCCAGGATTACAAATAAAGATTATGTATTGTATAGTGTTTCAATTGAAATTTGCTTTGAATCTGGAGCAATAAGTATTTGTTGATTTGTAGTCTGTTTCTGCTTTGTCTAAGCTATTTGCCAGATGTCTGCAGTAGTTAACTAATTAAAATGGCATTGCCTAATAGAGCTTGCTCTTCTCTCATGCTACTAATATGAAGATATTTCATTTAAAGGTATTCATTTATTGCAACACAGTAGTTTTGGCCCCTCCTTCCCTAACTCCTCCCCCCCCCCCCCACCCATTTCCTTTTCTTTATTGCACCCCACCCTGATTATTTTAACTTTTTGGCAGCCATGTCTAATATTTCAGCAACACATGTCCCAGGTTCTTTAAATTCACAAATGTTGCTAATCTGAAATGAGAATTTCAGATATTTTTGCAAGCCTATTTCAGCTGAGCTAATTTTATAACAGTGTTGTTGAATGAAATGTGCACATAATTTTGTTTCAGTTGTGGGTGGATCACCCATATCTTGAATATTGAGATGAGCTGTGGCAGCCAGATGAAGTATCCAAAGCACAGAATTCTATTAAATGTAAAGTCTTGTTTGCTGTATAATTAGGTAATGAAAAAGTTCACTGCAAATTAACAAGTGCAGAAATTTTTATGTAATTTGTCATTCAAATGATTTCTAATATCAAAGTATTATACATAATATAGACATTGTTGCTTCGGTAAGTATACATTGGCCTGAATTTCAGAAGCAAAAGATCAAGACCACAGAAAAGTTGCAATTAAGATTTACTTGTAGTCAGAGCAAAGAAATACATTCCTATTCTAGAATCCTTTTTTATTTTCTTATATGTTTGTTTCTGATAGTACTATAAATTTTAGACTACAAAATGTCATCACAAAGTGACACTGAGAATTTTGTATTGCTGGTTTGTGGTAATGTGTTCCTACATGTAATAGCGTCTATATTTAAAAATCTAAAGTATGATGCCATTAAATGTATTGATTGCTATTAAATAGTCTTACATTTTAGTAGTAACTGTTGGAAATCAAAACACCTGTCATGATAGGCTGTGGAGTCTTATGGAGATGATGCTGGATAGGAAGTATCTAAAAGGTTAAAAATGCATTGCCTGTTAGAGCTGGGTTGGTTGCTGCGTGCAGTGTCGCTGGGCGAGGGGCTGCCATGGCTGCAGTACATGTTTCGGATGCTCCCCACCAGCAGAAAAGTTATGTAATGCAGAGCTAAGAGCAAGAATTTTGAGCATTGTCAGCTGTTACTCAGGACGTTTTGGTGTTTCCTTTTGGACAGCTGACCCGCTCTCAAGAGACACTATAAACAATCACCGTAATAAAAATCAAAGTAGCAAAGGGGATTCTGTTGCATAATCTCCTTTTATTTTTAAGGAGACTGTTTCCTGGAAATGCCTTTGATTGCGTGTCAGTGTGAAAATTTAAACTGTTTTATGTAGCTGTCACTGGTGGATAATTGCTAACAGGTGGAAGGGGAAAAGGAAAAGATTACAGCATTGTGCGTAGTAGGTTGATGGTGAGATGTGATTTAGCCAAGCAGTCCCCTTTTCACGCTTCTTGGGGCATGAATATAGGATGTAGAAGGAAGCAGAGACCAGCAGGAAGCATTTTCGGTGCTTGATTTTTGTGAGGGGAGCAGCACATGGGCAGAAGTCTTTGCTGTGTTCCTTAAGCACACCAAAGAGCAACAGGTTAAAGCTGGCAGCCTGTTATCTTCGCGGTCTAGCTTTTAGAAATCCCCATAACGTAACGCACTTGAAATAGATGTCGTCATCAGCTCCTGCCCTGAGTACTAAGCCTGACCAAATACATGTGACAGAAGATGGTGGAGTAGAGTGCAGCAGCTATTCATGTGGTAGGAGTGGTTATTGTGTTAGGGTATACTTTTTGTTGACAGGCCAGCATGTTTTGAGTTAAAATTCTGCAGCTGTCTCTCTCTCCCCCTCTCTCACTTTCTCTCTGTGGATTTGTACAAATTCCAAGCTCCTCTGCAACAGTCGCACCCTTCTTAATTTGTTCTGAATAGATTTCACTGGTTTGTTTTTGTTTTGTTTTTTTCCCAGCAGGAAACGGACAGCAGAGGCGTAGATCCATTCAAGATCTTAGTGTTGCTGGAACAGAGTCCAGTCAGGTAATGTCTTGTCTCTTCTTTGTCTCTCAGTAAAGTCAGCACTGAATCTGTACAGGGAGAGTGGTCTGGAAATCTTCACCTTTGATGCTTTCATAGAAATTATGTGGAAGCTTGGCAGACTGTAGTGTTGTTTGTATTGCATTTAAATGAGATTCCATGAGGATAATCTAATGAATGAGCTTCAGATGAGAAGTGTTTTCTATATAGCTCTTTTAGCAATTTTTATGTATGCAGAGTTTTTGTGTACCACTTAATTTGGCAGAGGGCAGATGTTATGCAGGAAAGCCTCCTCACCTGTCTACATGTAGGAAACAATTGTAATTGCTAGTTACGATTTTCTGAAGCAGTTACACGTACATTAGACTCACTTTTTTCATAAAAATAAAAAGCATGTGCTTCATTATTACAAATGTTTTTATTGTCAATCTCTGAACCCTGAATTGCAATTTATAGTATATCTCTCCATTTCTTGTGAAGGTTTACAGGAGGGTGCTGTCACAAAGTTTTGTTTAAAAAAAGACTGTCTCAATAGGATATTTTATAACAACATAACTTCTTATCTCGTATTGTAACTGCCATGGTAACAGACATAGTGGTACAGTACATAAAATTGAAATTAAACTAAGAACAATTGAACTAAACACATTAGATGAGAAAAGTACAGATAATGCCTCATTCAGATGTGTCTATTTTGTGTTTTTTAGTTGCTTCATTGTCTGTTTCAGGAATTCACAGAGGCTATTTGACCATTAGTGTGAATTGGCAATTTTGAGATCTCTACTGTTACTTAGATGTAGAAAACCAGAGCAGAGAATATTCATCAGGTTAATCGGGTTTCCATGTTTAACAGCCTTCTGCAGTAATCTAAAATACGTGGTAATTTTGGGGTAAAATACATGTAGTTATCAGGAGATCAACATTTGATCCTTCTGAAATTCTGTGGAGTGTGGTGCCACAGAAACCTCATCAGTCCCCCAGATATTATTGGTAGAATTTACTATTACTAGTAGAATTTACTAGATATTACAACTATCAGAAAATAAGGAATTGGTCCTAAACACATTTTAATATCTTCAGAGGATACAGGTTTGTTAGAAAGAAATGCAACTGCAAAATTTAGTCAAATAGGTTAGCCTATTCAGTTAATTGTAGCACTGAAATTATGCAAGACTTAAGAAAAAGATATGTGACAGTACATCAGTTATGCCAAATGGCGCTGATTGATGTATTAATATATTTAATTATAGCTTTTTTATTTAAAAATTTTCATTCTGTTAATTTTAATGAATAGTTAATATTTTAAAATATACAATTTCAGCATTTACTTTATATCTTAATAACTATTATAATCCTCTTTATTTGAAAGCTATTCTACTGCTTGTATGGATGTTCTACCTAAATTGTCCATGTGACTATGAGGATGCAGAAGAGATTTTCTGTTTACCTCACTGATTTCTGATGAGGATCTACAGAAGTACTAGCATCACATTCTACTTTCTTGCTTCTGATGTGTACATACTGGAAATCTAAGCGTAGGAGTTACAATTAAATGCTTCTATCTTGCAGGTTTTGGAAAACATTCTGATAAAATCTAGAAAACGTAGTATTTTAACAGGCATGAAGAATGCACTTGGGAAGAAATTTTTGCACTGTCCCTATAAACGAACAATGTATTTTCATCCGCTTTTTAATGCAAGAAGAGATAAAAAAGTCTGCTGAAACTAGTACTCACTTTTGATGTCCATAGTTTTGTGTATTTTAAAAAATAGGAAAAAATGAAGAAAGCAAGCACAATGTAATTGTGGCAAAAGATTTAAGATGACGCATTATGGGTTTCTGTAGCTCTGAACCTCATTGTCTTGAATTTGTTAAAAATCTTGAACTACTATTCATATAAGCAATCTACTAGCCAGAGCAATGTAAGTATCTGTGATTAGTGTAGCTCTGGTGAGTTTATCCTGTTTCTCCATTCACACCAGACCATATATAGGTTATCCTGTCTAATGTGAATATCCTCTTCCCCTTCCCTCCCTTCATTGCAAACATCCTTCTTCCCCACACTGCGTGCCTCCACTCCTGCACCCAAGCCTTGTAAGCCCGTATCCTGCTCAACATTAAAGGACTGCAGTGGTGCCACTTTTGGGGGTTTTTTTAGACTATTTGACTGACACACGAAAGCTGATCAGAAATCTTTTTATTAAATGTGATTTTCCTGAAAATTGCTGCTGTGTCGATAGAGAATGATTCTGTAGTAATTAATTTTATTTTTTTTTTCTCAATCAGGAAGATTAATGCGTTTTAGAATTGATTTTTTTTTTTTTTTTTTGTTAAGGTGAAGAAAACCACCTTATAATAGTAATACCAATAATATACTAATAATAAATATACCATAGTTTGGATTGCTTACCTGAAAGGGTAGACCAAGACTTGTTTCCCTGCTTAACTGCTGGTCTGTTTTAATCTGACCTTCTTGTATGTTTTATGTTTGTGTGTATATTTTATTTCTGTGTACTGTTAGAAGAAATTTTGGGGGGGGTGGTTTGTGGCTGTTTATTACTTTTTTAATGCTGTTAAGACACTTCAGTCATTTTCCACCACTGCTCTTAGTAATGTTATGAAGTACAGACAGTCATAGTGCTTTCCAGATGATTTTACTACTCAACTGAGCCTTTTACACAGTTCGGATAGGAAAATACGTGAAGCCAAAGGTTTTCCATCGTTGGATGAGCTGTTGGAGTGGTTTGGTGTTGAGAACATCTGTTTAAGTTTGATTTTTCACAGACTTCTCTAGTGCTTGGTGACCTTAGACTGGACCTTACTCCAAGTGACATGAGCAGCACTGATACAACTGTCTCTGTCCAGTCAAATGCTACATTTCCATTTGTTTTCATCCATGTGGTGCTCTATTCGTTTTTTTCCACCTATTTTTTTTTTTTTGCACTGAATTCTTTCTTCTGTATTTCCATTTCCCTGTACTCGCATTTTAAAACATTGTATTGTGCTGCCTGTCCAGTGCTGCTGCTCTTGCCTGAACACCTTTGAAACACAGAAGTAGATGTGCAGCCGTAAAAACCTGGAGGGCTTGAAGGAACACAGAAAGCCTGCTATTTACACTGAATAGATTCTTTACAGGATTTGGTATTTTATACAAATACTGAGGTTATTTGGCATAATCACTCAAGGACTGCAGGTTGTGATCAGGTGTCTAGTAGGATAGACCTGTCCTTGCCTGTGAATCTTTTGTTGGGTTAGGTTTTTTGGTACATCCTCTTTCACAGCTAATACCAAACTATCTCCTCTTTCATACTTTTTTTAGATTTTGGGTTTTTTTTTTTTTTTAGTAACTGTTGCTGGGCCTTCATAACTCTTACAGTTTACTTTGAAGTGGAATAAAAATATATTTAAAAAAACATGTACTGTATTAAACAGTTGAGAAGCAAGTTTAGAATGTACATGCCCACATGCATGCAGGCTAAGTGTGATATTTTAGGGGATCTGATATTATACAGATGAATCATTCTGTCTGCATCATTTTCACAATTGGTCACAGATACACTTTTTTTCCTCCCCTTTCACAGCAAGATAAAATCCACAGTTGAGGAGGGCTAGTAACAATGATTTCTTTAAATTGGGTTGCCCATTTAAATTAAACTGGGGCAAGATTATTCCTCAGAGCATGACAGCTTTTCAAGACTGGAAGCCTGAGAAATGAAAGCTACGCAGCTAACCATGTCATGCGGGTTTGGCCACCTGGCAGAGTTGATTTGAGAGTAACCTGAAAACAAGTCTGTTTAGTGTATTGAGGCACCTGGAGGAAGAAAGGGTGAAAGAATACCTGTGAAAGAGTAGCAGAAGCTGATGGATGAAGAACAGGCACTGGCTTACCTGTCAGAGGGGCTTGGTGTCTAGGAGGCCTAAAGCAACTCAGTAACACACAGTTCAATGCTGTAATTTAACACGTTCAGTTTGAGGAACTTCCCTTGAACTTTGCAATGCTTTTTATACATGCTTCAGATACCAATCTATCTATCTCTAGTAATTTTGTCTAAATAATGTTATCAAGGAAAAGGGTTTTTCTCCTGTTGATGAATCAAAACAATCTGGTACAGCAAGCAGTCTAGTACGGCATTGAGAAGTTACTGTAACTAGAGTACTTTTCAGGTGCCCTTTGCTATCAACTTTAGATACTCAACAGATCTTTGCTTAAAGGACTTACATGCTGTTAAATACTTTCTCTGTCTTCTGATCTTTCACATCAGCAGTGTTTATCATTCGTATCTGAGGATAATGACAGTAAGCAGCTTAAACCTTGCTTAATGTTAACAAAGACTTCAAGACAAAAGCTTTCTGAGAATGTCTGATGCCATCGTCCTGATATCATCCATTGGATTATTTCTACAATAGTTTATTGCTCTTTTCTGGCTACTGACATAAAACACTGAATGGTTAATAAAAATTACAGGAGAAGCATAATGCAGTTGAAATAATGGATATTTCAGCATGTAAAATCTTAGTACTTTTGGGATTGTTAGTTGCCTGAAATCCTGACTTTTAGAAGTCAAATTAAGACAGGATATTTGGAAATGAGAGTCATGAAGAAATACGGTTTCTAGGTAATGTATATTTGAGTGGTTCTTTTGAAAAACAGGATCTTTAATCATTTCATGGTAAATACACCATGTTGAAAATGGTTGTATTTTAATAGCATCTTTTTACTTTTTTTTTTTTCTGTAAAACTCACTGGGGTTTGTAGTCTAAAGTCCTTTACTGTGTTACTTTTATGCCAGTGAGGGGTTATATGAGATACAAGAAATTGTAACTAATAATTCTGAAAAAGCAGCTTAGTAGAATAATGAAGTCTTCATGATTATGTTTTTGCACTTTTGGTAAATGAAAGGATTGGAGGAGTTAAGCTGTGTATATAAAGGAACTTCCTACATAATTTTACTTTAGTTCTTAATTTGCTTTGTGAGAGAGAATGTATTCATTTTCTAATTGTTTTGCTTTAATTTCTTGATCCTTATTGATTAAACATTGTTTTTCATGTTTTCTGAAGATGAATCACATAACCTCTGAGTTAACTTAAGAACCATAAGAAAACCGTAGATTAATATGCTGCAATATAGTATAGTTACTAAGCTGCATTTGTTTAGTTGAATTTAGTTCCATTCATTGATTAAACACTGGAAACACACTTTATTTCTTCCTTATGTTACGAAGCTGCTAGATTTCACTGAATGGTAGTGTGACTAGACATCATGTCACATATTTATATAAAGATCTTGAACATACAGTTCAGCACTGCTTTCTATTATGCTGAATAGCAAAATTATATCCATTTATTTTTTATGGTAAAGATGGAGCAGAAAGGGAGATGAAATTGTCCATGCAATGCATGTGAAGTTTATCAAACTACCTGGAAAGCTTTCAGGGTAAAAGCTTGGAGAGGAGAGTATTTGGGAGGACTGTAGGTTCAAGTTTCTTCACATTTTTTTCTTTTACTAATGTTTGGGGTTTTCTTGGGGGGGAGTGTTGTTTGTTTTAAATTAACCCTTAAAAAAAAATCTTCTGTTAACTTTTGTCATTTTATTTTATCAATTTAGGAGAGTAGAAACAGCAGTAGATCATCTAGTCCTAGTGTGAGAATGATCACTACCTCGGGACCAACCTCTGAAAAGCCAACTCGTAATCCATGGACACCTGATGATGCAGGTACTCCTTTGTTCATTAGTTAATTTTTTGCATTTAAAAAAATATAAAATAAGTATTTGACTATGGTGTGGGATGTGTGCCTAAACATTTAACAAAATTACACAACGAAAGTCAAAGTCCATTTTAGTTCTGCTTAAATTAAAACGTTACATTACTGCTTTGTTTTGCACACTGGCTTGAAGGATTTTTTTTATACAGATTGTATTAAGTTAAATAAAATTACAGGCATTTTGCTTTAAAGAAAGTACTGTACATACTGTGATAGTAGTATTTAATGCAGGTCTTTTAACACCAGTTTTTGAGTGTAGTGTGGTTTGGGGGAATTAAGAAAATAGAGATTTTTAGAGTATTATAGTCTTGTGCATTTGTAGCATGAATGCACAGTTAAAGCTTTCATTGCTCTGACTTCTGCAGTGAAATGTTGTGTAGGTGAGTATCAGCTGGTTAATTCTATTTTTGATCTGTGTTGTAATTTTGCTTATGCAGAATGTACATGTGCACACAATCTTACTGGGTTTTAAAAGAACTAACATAAGTGTGTCTGCAGAAATGTTGTAAATACTTCCATAGTATCACTGTTCGTTATGAAATATGATTAAGAATTAATGTAATTTACATAGTAGAATTTAATTTAAAAAGTCATCACACACTTCATTATGAAAAGAACCAGTACGATACTGCATGAAAACAATGGAGCCCCACAAATTCCCTTTTAGGATACAGATAAGAATTACCTTTTGGTCTCTAAAATGTACATGTTGACTCTTAAGATGGTACCTCTCAGTGCCTCAAATTTTGAGATCTTGTGATCTGCTTCATCTTTGGCTGATCAGACTCTTTCATTCTTTTCCTGTAACCAACTGCGAAATGGAAACTTGCATGAGGACTGACTTTTGCACAAGCATATATATATATACATACCTATGTGTGTGTGTGTATAAATGTGCACGCTTGTATTTTACCAAATACAAGATGATTATGTAAGATGTCTACTTTCCCCTGACCCCGTTTTAGTGGGAGAGGGCAACATACTCTTGTACTGTGTTTCTGTGCTTTCTTCTTTCTGTCCGTTGTCACTTTACCTGATCACGCTCTATGCCTTGTCACTCATAATTTCCCAAAGTTCTTGCCCACTGCCACAGCCCACCCTATGCCCTCTTTTGCGTAGCGTGGGTCCTGTGTTGCTTTAGGCAGTGAGCACTTACAGCAATTGCTGCCCTACATAGCAGCATGTTCTTACACAATCAATAGTTCATTGGGAACTGAAAGTTGCTGATCATATGCCAGTGCAGAGACAGTTTGCCTCAAGTCTTTGGCCTTATGTGCAGCACAGAAGTAGAGCTAAAAGTCAGGTCTGTTTTCTGGCTCACAGAAATCACTCACCTTATACTCAGATAAATACAAAATGTACAACATACATATATTTTTCCTTGATAGGTTTATGCAGTCCATGAACAAAGAATTGTTTGAATTTCTAAAGAGATAAATAATTTTAGTTTTCTGTAGAAGAGGGTATGTGCTTAAGTTAATGCGGCAAAATGAGAAAATGAGGGTGCGGCCAAATCTGGTCAATCACAGGTGGGATTATAGTTCTGTGACACAGTGCTGAAATGCTCAGGAATGTCATCTCAAAGTATTTTGCATGTATTGGTATATTTGAAACATTGCAATAATTCCTTTGCTGTAGCAGTATTCCACATATGGTAATAGTCTCATGTAGAGAAGGACTTTTTATACTGTTCTTACTTAAGATACTGTGGTTTAAGTCTCTGGTTTTAGGGTTTTGTTCTTTTGGTTTTGTTTGTTTTGTGTTTTTTTTACCACCTTCCGGTTTCCTTACAAGCATACATATACTTAACCACTTTTTCTTCATTCCCACCCTCTTATTTCTGTTTCCTTTTGAAGCTGCTCTTGGAGATAGCATAGTCTTTGAGGGCAACACCTTAGTTTCTCTACCACGACTACTCTGTGGCAGGTGCTATTGGGGTATGGGTAAGCAGCCCCTTTTTTTTCCCCACCTACCCTCCTCCATATAATCCTCTAGTAGCGATAATGCACCTATAAAATCGCTAGTTTCTTCATGTGCCTTTACTCCTATATCTCTTAAAGCTTAACAGTAACCCTGTGATCCCCAGATTGTGGGCTACCAAAAGATAGGATCTGTAAGAATTCAGAACCATGTTAAATCTGGAATGAAAGAACTAGAGTAATACAGAGTAATTGCAGTGCAAGAAGAGAGCAGCCAGGCCCAGGGGATGGGTTGGTTACTGGGTTCCTTGCTACCCACAAGTATCTCTACAGAGCAGAGAAGATGCCCTAGAGCATGTTGTGAGGAAGATACTAACAGACCTCACTGGGAGCAGGTTTCAAAACCGAGCAGGAGGTTGTGCTTATTTTATTTTGGCAGAACTGGTTTGCACAGCTTCTAATTTTAAAATCATTAGATGCATGGGCTGGCTGGCTGATCCTTCATAAACAAGAATGAAATGACAATTTTTTTATAAATAGAGAACATGATTGCAAACTGTATAAAAATAGTATTTAAAAAATCTGTATGCTGTTACATGGCTTTTAGAAGTGTAGGCTGATAACATTAATCTTTATTTCTTCTTGGTGTGATAGACCATACTTTTGAAGTTCTTAACTTTTATCAGAAAAACAAAATGATTCATCTGCCTTGGGATTGGAGTACTGCTATTTCTGTTTGCCTTTCCACATTCAGACTGTGTATTGTGAAATTACTTAGAATTCTTTTTTTTTTCCTATAAGAATAGAATTAGCTCTCAAAATACATTAAAATTTTCTTGGTATTGTTACAGAGACCAATGGGTCAGATAACTCCATCCCAATGGCATATCTTACCTTAGATCATCAGTTACAGGTAATAAATACATGCTTTATTAGATTCTTTATCTTGTATTTCATTCTAATGTGTGAATTTTGGGCTGCAGAGTATAGTGCTACATATTTACCTGTGTTTATATTCTGTCTAACTTTTGACCAAGGCTAAAAAAATATATTATGTAATCTGAGATTGGTTGACTCAGATTTGATCAAGCTATTATTAAAAACAAGCCCCGGGAAACATGATCCCTAAAACCAAATGTAAGCTGAGTTTGACTGTCAAAATAAGACATAATTTGCTTGAGTGTTACTGAATTAAACTGTTGTATACACTTTATTTATTGTGTGGGGGATTAAACACTACTTTGACTTTTGTAATGGAGAGACTGTTGGGTCAATAACTGTAGTTTGAGTCAACTTTGACATCCCTGCAGTAACATTTTCCAGGGCATGGTTTAACACTTATTTTTAATAGCTTGCTGGTTTTGAAAAGCCGTTATAAATACACTGCAGAGACATTCTAAAACACTGTATACTAGGATATCGGTTCATTAGTTTTTAACATGTCTGATTTATTTTCAGCCTCTAGCACCGTGCCCAAACTCCAAAGAATCTATGGCTGTGTTTGAACAGCACTGCAAAATGGCACAAGAATATATGAAAGTTCAGACAGAAATTGCATTGCTGTTGCAGAGGAAGTAAGTTAGATGTGTTTAACCTTTTCTGTTCTGTATGTTTCTTTTACACCAAGTCTGTATCTGTGGCTATTATTTCCAGCTTTATGAAGTAACATTTCATAGAAACATTAGTCTCAGAAATACTGAGCTGTTCAGTACAGGTAAGATGCTTAGAGCAGGTAATTGGAAGTTTTAATCAATATCAGGACTCTTCTAGACAAATTGTACTTCAAAGTCTGTGGCACATCTGCGTATTTAACATACTAGTAATATTTGTATCATCTCAAATGAAGAATCTGGACTGTCAACGAATGTTGGAATTTTATTTCCAATACTGTCCAGTAAAAGATTTTCAATTTTAGTTTCTAGATAACCATTTGATTAATGGATTATAGAATTTTGAGTAATATGTCAGTGTTACTCATTTTACTCAGTTATATCTGACTTTCTTCAAGCATCACATTTACAATGATATTATCAACACACATCTTATGTTTTTCTACTGGGGACATAGGACCACTACTTAAAAGCTGTTATGTACCTTCTTACCTTTGTGCACTAGAAATAAACTCTTTCCTCTGACATTGTGTTTGCCTATAAGTGAAGCAACTGCATGTATTGTTGGATTAGGGCCAAAGTTATAGCTGTTTCAGAACTTCAGTTCTACTTCTTACCATTTCTGTTTCCGGATGCTTGGGAGAAGCTCTGAGAGGTCATGTGTATTCCCATGCTAGACCAAGTAACCAGCTTGTTACCCACCAGTGTCTAAGCCACTGCAGACAAGCAGTTGTTAATGAGGGGTTTGCGTTGGTGTTTGTGGAATAGCTAATGAGAAAAATGTGTGTATAAACCTCTTCTACATTAGAAATAGCGTACAGAATAGGAGGGAAAAGTGACTGTGAGATTGACCTATCTATTTGCTTTTGGTTTAGCATCCTTAGTTTTCAAGTGCAACTACAATTTTTAGACTTCATGAGGAGATGCTGAAGCTTGTGTGAATAGCTTCGTTTTGGTTTTATTTCCGTTGTCTCTAAAGGTCAATAAATTACATTAAAATGTATTTCTGTTTCAAAATTATTGTTACCTTTAGATTCCTACTTTATCTTTTTTTGTAGGAAATTTGCATTCATGTTTCTCCCGAACTATTTTTTCTTAGAACATAATTGCTCATAGGTGTTAAAACAAAAAAACAGTGTTGTGATTGATGAATTTAGTGCTGTTTAAAGTAGTTATTAGTTCAGCCTTTATAGAATGATTAAGTTTTCTTTAACTGTAATTACAAACCATATGGCAACAATTAATTAACATGAACTTTCTCCTCTACTATTTTGTTGCTAAAATATTGCTGGCAGCTTGCCTTCTTGTCACCTCATAAACAAATAGTAAAGCAAACTGCTACATCAGTTTTGCAGGATAATTTATAGTAAGTTTATCAGTGTGTTTGTTCCTCTCAAATTATTGCTAAAAAACATATTGAGCACTTATGGCATCAATTAAGTGAACTGACAGTTACAAAAATAATTTGTTTGATTCTGCTTTTCCACTGCTTTAAGAAGTTCAAGTCCAAATCGAAAACAGCACTTCACTAAAAAGTTACCAAAATTATTGCAATTTTGTCTTTTTAAGTTGCCTTTTGAGTTTTTAAATACACATGTAGTTCAGCAAAATTAGAGTCGAATAAATTGATGAAATTCTGTGTGGATCCTTAGATGTTTTACTGTGACCTGCAGAAATACATCTAAAAGACATTATATAAAGGACAATTCCAGAGATTGAGGGTATGGCAAGCAGCTATTTTAAAGTTTAAATACGGATTTGATTTGGAAGAGAATTTTTTCCCTAGACTACAATAAAGAATAAGATTTTAATTTTTTTTTTTTTCCCCGCACAAAATATCACGAGCCGTGAGTTCAGACTGATGATCAAATACTGATTTGGAACATGTGAAGTCATCTTACACACAAATAGAAATAGATTATAAATGACAATTACTTTTTTATTACTTTATTTTAGACAAGAACTGATAGCAGAACTGGACCAGGATGAAAAAGACCAGCAAAATACGTCCCGTCTGGTACAAGAACATAAAAAGCTGTTAGATGAAAACAAAAGTCTCTCAACTTACTATCAGCAATGCAAAAAACAATTAGAGGTCATCAGAAATCAGCAACAGAAACGGCCAGGCACGTCATGATTTCCTGGGACCTTTCAATTGAAAAATATGCACAGAAAAGACTGATATTTTTTTTATTGTTATTATTATCCCTTATTATGACAACTCATGAGTGTTAGCTTCTTGGTGTGATCTGTATTTGTCTGCTACACTTAACATCATTTATTTTTTTTTCTATGGTGGACATCCAGTTCAACGGGTTAATCAGATAAGGTGAGAGAACAGTGACTCAAATTAACCAACAGCCCTCAATTTAAAGCAAGAACAGTGGCTGTATGCATGCTCCTTGTGTGAAGGCTAGCCTAACAAGTGTTAAAGTGGCTGCTAAATTGTAAGATCTTGGTTTTAGTTTTTGGTATTACCTCGATATGAGCAAAACAAAAACTTCCCTGTTTAAGAATGGTTTTGTTCCAGTGTCTCATCTCAGACTATTAATATGATGATTATTTTCAGGACTTAAACATGCATCAAGCTGCAAAGGTGATGCTGGCTGACCAGAGTAATTCGTGATGCATTAGTAATGCCTTTTACCTTTAGACATAGTATATTTTTTCCACATGCAAAATGGTAGGCAAACTGATGCCAGCAACCTTGGTTCAGTGCTTGATAAGCCCTGCATTCTGACTAATATATTTCTTGTAATCTTGCTTTCATAAAATATTTGAAGTAAAAGTCTGTATTTGCTTTGCTTTCTTGGGGGGAATGACATGCAGTTTCACTCAGTTGCTGGGCAAAAATTAGGAAGGAGATTCACTGGGCAAAGTTGGTCCCTTCTATAAGAGAGAAAGAATCAAAAATGTGTGAAAGTTTTTGTTTTAAACCTTTAAAGCTTTTGTCCCTACAACATCTTTGGAAGGAAATTCAGAAAGCAAATTAATACAAAACTTTAAATACTTGCTCCTTTATACCACTTCTTGGGTTTTGGTTTGGTTTTGGTTGTTTTTTTTTTTTTCTTACACCTTATTTGCTGAAAAGCATTTACCATAAATGTAAATACATTTGGCTCAGATAGGGAGAGAAGGGTTTGGGGAAATGAATTTATTTTAAATAGCAAATTATGAAATGGAGTCAAGTATGCAAATAGCGGAAGCTATTAAGAGAATGAGGGAAATGGCTTAGATCTCCATCAGGAATCTCAGTTATTCCACTCATTTGAACGTAGTTCAGAGGAAGTCCATCACAGAATGCCTGCTGTCTTCATGACTGAAGAATTGCTTTTAATGAACTCAAGCAGAATATGTAATGATCAGTGTCATTATTTACTATTATTACGTGGGAAAAAATAAGTACTTGTTTACATTACAGATTGGTTATTTGGACTATGAATTAAATTTTAACTGGTACAAAAATGAGACACTTCTAAATATAATGAGAAATTATTCCTTACATAAGCTCTGGGGGGGCTCAGTTGTGGGCAGGGTTTTAATAACAAACATTTTTCCAAAAGGAAAACAGAAAATTGCCATTTAGCTGCTGAGCTCTTGAAATACAAGAGTAGTAATCTGAAGTTGGACTTACTACAACTGAATAATTCTTCACAAAAGCCCAGGAGCAGAACTTGGGAAAATGTTAAGGGTAAAAACTTGACAAAAAATGTCATTACTATCGTGCTTCTCTGTGAACAAGAAAGATGACAAACAGTTTACTGAATGGTGTCATCCTGTCTTGAAAATAAATTTATCATTGGCGAACTTTTGGGAGTTAGAAACCCTTCCCTCATTTTATTTAAATAAAGGAAGGATTATCATTCCCAAAACCTTAGCAGATAATTTGATTAGTTAGCTGAAATTGATATTGGGATCAACTTAAGGGCACACATATTTATAGCAAAATGTAATTGGCAGAGAAAATAACTGTAGTATTAGGAATAGCACAAGTTATCCAGAGCATTGCTGTTCACATACATCTGTCCTTCTACCAAAATGGACACATGCAGTGATCAGCTTATTTAACGTATGCTGAAGCATGAAGTAGGGCAGCATAACATCTGATGCTCAACTTCACATGCATGGTTGATAATTACATGCACAAAATCATTTCCCAGGACAGTTTTTACAGTTTGCTCGGTCGTAAAACAGACACCGTTTTCAGGTAAATCAGTATTGTATATGAAGAGTCACTTTATGGGAAAGTTAGAGTAATGAATGTAATGCTAACTTAATGGTACATAATACAAAAGGCTGTTCTAATGGTTACTTATGACTTGCCAGGGTTTACATTGAAAAGGGTCTCAGATTATAAAATAAGTACTGTGCTAACATGCACTGTTGAACTCCGCTCCAATCAGTAGTTGAGTTATATTGCTCTTGTTCAGATTTTCAAAGGGAATCTGGAGTTTGACCTTTTGCCTCCAAATTGTCCCTTTCTTAATTCTACCAGAAGTTGAGAAATTATTTGCCCAGGTTTCGCAGTGAAGTGTTCTGTGTGGCTAAGTCTCTGTATCATTAACAAAAAAATACTATAAGGGTAGAATGTAGTGGTTTGGGCTAAGAAGAGTTTTAACAGCTTGACTTTCAGTGATCTTTATTATTTTCGTAAGGCTCTTGTTTTAAAGTTGTTTACAAATGTACTTTTTATTTTTCTGTTAAACTCTGGAGTGTTCAGGAATTCTTTCATGGTTTTTTGTTTTTTTTTTTTTTGTCCAGTTAAAGCTGTTCCTCTAATAATAGAGGTGAAACATCTAGTTTTGTTTGGGCACTGCCTTCTCAGAAAAGGTAACAGGCTCTGTTTTTTGCTACAGTATGTGTTCTGTAAGATATTGTGTAATTGAAAGTATGCTTCTGTACACCATGTAGTTCTGCCAAAAATGCTTTTTTTTTTTTTTTTTTTTTTTTTTTAGGCTTTTTGGGGTTTTTTTTCCGATAAGAAGTTGAAGATTGTAATTCAAAACTTGTACATAAAATGGTGAATGATTTCATATGATACAGGAATGAAGAGTGTGGCTTTCTGCTACAGGGTTTTATTGCGTTGCCAGGAATCTAATTAATAAAAGCTGAGAGACTTCCACAAACATGTAGTAATGCCCCACCACTTGCCAGGGCATCCTTGATCTCCAGTGGAATCCCACACTGGGTGGGGGGATAATCATCATGCAGTTGTTCCACCACAGAAAGAAAATTCTTCTGCTATTAGCTCTTCCCTTCCTGTGTGCAGAAGTAGAGTGTAGGATGAATAGTCCTACTTATAACTGAGTATCGAGATATTTTAAGAATGCCACATCTTTCATAAGTGTGTTCCACAAAAAGATAAGCACTCATCTTTCATTGTTCAGTTTGGACAAATTCCATTCCATGGAACATCCCTATTTTGTTTGTAATGGATTTTACTGCTTGAGAATTTCCATTGCCGTACCTCGGACACAGACAACCCCCCTTAATTGTCTCATGCCTGGGAAGAACACAGAATCACACTTCAAATCTGTTCTGAGCTGTTTTGAACACCTGTACTGTTTCAGTGCCCTGCTCCAAACAGCAGGGAAGTTAGAATGGATAAGTGCAAAAAGAGGTGTGGCACACTCAACCCTCAAAATACAGATTGCCCTGTGGTGAACTGGTTAAAGAGGAGGATCTTACAAAAGGAAGTCTGTGGATAGGTGTAGAGAGCTGGATGTATTAAATCAGAATTGATAGATGTCTCTGTTTCCAAAATCTGAGCTTTCTGTAGTTAACTTTAATGTCACTAGATGAGTGGTTCTCTAAGCCTGTAAAGATCAAGTTCAGTAGAGGCAGATAAATACAGGTGTGCATACATGAGAGTGCATCAGTTATTTGCTGTGCCTGTAGAACCCTTTTCTACTTGCAGGGATGATTCGTATCTCCCTCTGCACTTGGACAGATTTGCTACAAATGTTTTGACTTTGAACCTGTATCCTAATTGCAGGTGATGGATTTGCCTTTAATGAAAGGGCAAAACTGAATTTAGACTAAATACTTTAAGTTTTTTATTATTAATATATATCTTAAAATACTTGAAGAGCACTGCCAATCCTGGGGCTTTAACCTAAACAAGCGTTAATGAAAAAGGGTTTTATTAATAGTTGTGTGCTTTACACTAAGTAGCTAAAAATTTTAAATACTCCAAAGGATAAAAAAGGCTTGTGTTAACATAATTCCACATGCCTTGTTGATACCCCCCTTCTAACTTGGCCAAAGGCAGCCCAGCTACTCTTACACTTGGCTGCTGTTGCCTTTTACTGATGGAAGATGGGTGCAGATCATTGTAACACGTTACAGCCTATCAGTCTTGTGAAGCAAAAGGCACAGGGAGAGGGGGACCTGGAAGCAGATGGAGTGGGGCGTTTTGGCTTCTCTAAGATCTCTTCCTGTCCTTAAGCAGTGGGTGCTCCCTGTGAAACTACAAATCCGTTAACGCTGACATGCAGGCTGGTGGAAATGCTATCATAGTTTTCCCTTTTCCCAGCCACGCTTTTCTCTCCCACTGCTGGTGAATGGGAGAGGCTGTGGAGCAGCTGCATGTAGGCTGCTCTTCTGTGGTATTTAGGCAGAGGACCAAGGAGTGACTTGCATTCATATAACCTATGGGCTCAGTGTATGGGATGGGTCATGATTTTAGCTTATGGCAGAAAACTAGAAAAAAACAATTCCTAGTGGTAGGAGTCTTGAAGATCATATGATGAGGTAGATACATCTAAGAGCGGTATCTGGGTCTGTTATTTTTCATGAGGAGTAGCAAGGTGGACTTCACCTGTTGGGCCACCTTTGGGCAATGCGCTAAAAGCCATTGTGACAGTCCCGGTAGCTCCTTCAGTGCAAAAGAGGGGTGGCCAAAACGCTACTTAAGAAAAGGAGGAGAGCTGTTCGCACTGAACCTGTTCTTGCAGCATTGCTGATGTCAATACATGTTTAAGACCATTCAGACTCAGTTACAAAGATGAAGCCAAGAGAGGGACTAAAGTGTCCTAACAACCAAAGATGTCCGTATTTGCCAAGCCACCACTGCAGAAGTGTTCCTGTGAACGTCTTTGTTCTCCAAGGAAGCCTGCCTGTGCCCATCACCATAGGACTCCTCCAACAGCTGTCTCTGAAGAGTTAAACCTGCTTCATGGAAATCACAGTCCTGTTAGATCATCATTAGCAATGTGTCTAGAGCATAACTGGGAATTGTTGTGAGGCAGGAGGTGAAGCTAATTTAGCTTGTCCTGTGAGTGAGTCTGCCAGGCATAAGCTGCTTCTGTCAGTGAAGTGCTCAGATAGGATCTAGGAGGCAGAGGCAGCGCAAGGAGCCATTTTGGTCCATGCAGCTGTGCCTTACATCAGAGCACAGTGCCATGGCTGAATGTTAGCAGGCCTGCTTCTGAGGGCCCTGCTGGTGGCTTTTGTTAGAAGACTTCAGGCACTGCTCCAGGTGTCTGTGAGTGCTGGCAACACACTGAAGCTGTACCAAAGTGTGAGGCTTATGGTGATCACTAAATGATCATCATCATGAAATGATCATGATGAGCATCAAAAACAGTAGATACCAAGTAATAGCTGAGGAGCGATACACGCTACTTGTTTTTGAAAAGAAAAAAACCAAGGGTACTGATCATTGAGTGCACTGTACCCTGGTATCTCTGAGTCAGGGAAACACACCCTTAGCATTGGCATAAGCCCTCTGAGTGCGCTACCAAAGGAACCATGCAGTGAGACAAGTGGTGTGGTGGAAGCTTTCATGGCTGCTCTCCTGAGTGCTCTGACTTCTCAGACCTGAAAGAAAAAAAGAGGAAAAAGCCTCACCACACAGCTGGGTGTTCTGAATGTGGCTGGCTTGTTCACTTGGCATATTATGGCATGCTCCAGCCAAGAAGTGCTACAGGTCAAACTGAGTTTTCAATCTCAATTGCTTTAATTCTATGGTTTTAGGACCATGTAACCTGCTCCTCCTGGGCTGCACCTCAGC